CTTATTTGTAGCACAGATTGGTTGTAGCCAAGTGAGAGAAGGAATGAGTTTTCTTCTGAACATTTGATAATTGATATTTTGGATTATTCCATAATAACTATATAAACTTTGCGTCCCAATGCCCTTGAGCTCCTTTTAGAAATCAATGGCAGCATTGCATGAGAGGTTTTTTATATTCAGTCTTAAGGGAGGGACATTCCCCTCTTCCTACCCCAAATCTGATAGCCAGCTGGACTATGAAATTATGAAGGTTTACAGGATTATGAAACTGTCACAGAATCACGGCTCCTGCTTCTAAATGAACAGTTTTGGAACATGGATTAATTAAACTTGATATTTGACTGCTTGTGTAATGGGATAAAAGGTCTCATATATGGTCAAAGCATTTTCCTTGCCCAGAGGCTTTTTGAAAGCCTGGGGCTCTTACAGTGCAAGACACAGAACTACTTCAGTTCTCTAGCACTTTCCCCTAATTAAGTAGCTTTAAATGAACTTTGCATCCCCAGGTCAGAATTTCTTAGGAGTGGCTAATGACATCTCTTGTTCTTAGCTAAAAGAAATAGAGGAAGGAAGGTCAACCCATTGCCCTCTCTTCTAGCCAAGGCTGGCTGATTTGTAAGCAGATAAACCATCTCTTCATTCAAAGCATGTCAGTCTGTTTTAGCATCCTGCTGATAAATACTGTGGAGACAGGATGAAGGTGGGAGAAAGGCACTAAGCTTTATACACAAAAAGGCTGGCTGCTTTTTGTGTGTTTCACTATTCCTCACTGTGTCATGGAAAGAGGCTTCTGTTTTTTTGGAGAACCATGTTTTAAAACAAATAGGAAAAAAAAAAAAAAACAAAAACAAATCAGTATTAACTAGATGCCAGGTGCCTTGCGGATGTGGAAACACAGCTGGGATTGCTGCCTCTTCTCACTCAATGGCATGTTGGACCGAATGGGTGCATGTTTCTAGTTTGTTTTTTTTTTTCCCCTTCCCCTTTTCCTCTGTCTTTCAATTTAATTACATTGTGTGATTATTTTTTATCTGGTTTATCCTGTTTGTGTGGTGAGTTTTAAAGGGAAAAAAATGAACACCATCCTGTAGCTGAATCCTTGGTGTGTGTTTGGGATGAGGGAGGGAGCATGGAGAAAAGTCCTTCTTTAAAAAAAAAAAAAAGGAAAAAAAAAAAAACAAAACCAAAACCTGAACATGTGTAAAATCCTGTATCATTTATGAAATATGTATAAAAGAGCAATGTACTTCTGGAACAATAAATAACTATTCAATTTTTGAATCGGTGCTCTTGAATAAGGTTATTTTCCCCAGCTGAGAGGAGAATATTCGATGTGTAGCAGCCGTCTCCTGAGTTTCCTCCATTTCTTTTTGTTTAGGTTGTTTCTTCTTGACCTTACATCACTGAGGCCGTGGTGATGCAGATAATAGCTTTCCTGAAGAAGCTTGGATGGAGATCTTGCTGCCATGCCTAGCTGCGTAACACAGGGATCTTGGGAGCAGTTGAGGTGGTGAGGTAGAAGTAGAGATATTTGGTCTAACAAAGATCTGCCTTTGTTTGGCCAGCATAGTAGCTCCATGTGGAGGCTGACAAAATCTGGAGATATGTGTCAGGTTGCAGGATAAGAATATATATGGGTGTGTAATGCCCAGCAACCTAAAAGGTACCAAGTGGTGTCAGTGTATTTCTGTATTGCATTCAAGAGCTGTTTCAGAGGAAAACTGACGTTTTGAGCTTTTGTTACCTTCTTTATGGGCCTCTGAATGGCTGTGGCCTGATTTGTCATGGTGACGTATCGCTTGTTTATTAACTTTAGGAATTGCCAGACTGTACTTTGTCCTAACTTTCATGGGATGTTAGGATGAGATGTTTGGTGCCAGAAGGTTTTTTTCATGTCCACTGACTGTTAAAAAAAGAAAAATTGAAAAAATCCATGACTGGCCAGTTTTTAAAACAGCCAACTCTTGTGATATTTGAAGTCTGAGAGGAGGGGCTGGAAGCTGCTAGTTATGTGACCTACCTTTAATCAGTGTTGAAATTTAGTTCAGCAGTGCTGACAAAACCCTCTTCCTCCAAGCAGCCCTTAGTCTGTTGCTGTGTACAGACAAGCTGCTGCCCTCCCTAGACAAATTACTTTGGTCAGTTGCATAAGAAGTCATCCATTTTGGCATCCAGAAGAACTGAAAACTTTGATATCTAGTGCCACAATCCCTATTTTGAAAGCAAGAAAATGCTGTGACAGAATTGTTCCTGCACATGCTTTAATGTTGTTCTAGAGACGATGTGGGAAAAGGAGTAAAATATGAGTCTAAAACTGTACCCTGAAATATGGGCTGTCCATTGGATCTTGTTAGTCTGTACCCCTGGAAGGTTGCTTACTCCTCTCTGCACCACCAGTGCACACATGGTCTCTGCTGGGCATGGATGACATGCCACAAACCTCAAACTCAAATCTCAGTGCTTCAGCTTTTGTTGCCCTTGAATGGCAACATTGAAGGGAATGGTGATGTTTGTTTGCTCTCCTGATATACACTGTTGTTATATGAACATCAACAAACTCTCCTGCAGCAGCTATTTCATGCCTAGGAGCCAAGCAGGTAATAGGGTCCTGTCCCACTGGACAGCACTTTAAGAGCAGGCAGTGCTGCTTGAATCTTAATGTGACACTGCATTCTTTAGACCCTATAAAGGATAAACAGCAGTGTGCATTGCAGTGTTCAGATGCTGCTTTTTCTACCAATTTTGTTATTCATTTGGTTAATATCTTTCCCTCTTTTTCTGTGAGGGAGCTTTCAAATAAATACACATCAAGTTCAGAATTGTCTGGAGAAATGTGTTAGGTTCCCTTTTTGCCATGTCTGTGAGGCTCTACCTTGCAAGTCTCTGCAGGGCAGGTCTTCATGGCTCCTTTTTCCTGAAGAGCAAAGAAGAAACCCTTTTTCTTTTTCCCTGTAACCCTTCCTACCTAGCAGGCAGTGATGATGATCACCTTGCTGCAAGCTCTTACACTTCCATGTGTAAGAGGGCTTGCATGATGCTCTGAAGCTGCTGTTGGCTGTCAGACCTTGGCACTATGTCAGTCAAGTGAAGCTGGCCAAGTTGCCCTGTCTTTCTGAGCCAGTGGAACGATTTCTTTGATCTCCTCTGTGGTTTTTTTTTTGTGGAGTTGTAAATGCAAACTCCCTTGTGCCAGGTTGTATGACTTTATTTTCACATAGGAAGGAGATTTTTATATCTTAAGTGGTTTTCTACCTATCCCAACAGATTCCAATTACTCCCTTTTAAAAAAATCAGTTTTATTTCTATACTGACATTAAAGGTGTGAAAAGTAAAATACAGGAATGGAAATTAAACTTGCAGTCTATTTAAGCCCTGAAGTATGGGAGGAGCTGATGTTATGCTGTGTCATTGTGGCTCTGTGGATCTGTAAAAGATGGGTCCTACTCCTGTTTCTGCCCCTGACTAATTTAGCAATTGTGTGTATGCTGTCTATGCCCTAATTCCTCCATGTAGAAATTAAGGATCATGGAAAATACACTGTGTTCTGTAAGACCTGTGAAAAGACACTCTCAGAACACCCAAGTTCTGCATCACAGGGCTCCACTAAGGGAAAGGAAATAACTGCTGGTCTTCACTAGGAGTTATGTACTTGTCTGATTTCAGTGGGGTCTTGGTGCTTTACTATTTCTTGTGTTGAGTTTGCTCATACTTCACCAAACTTGTGTACACTCCCTGATCTCAACAGCCCTTCCCTTGGCACTGTGTCCTGGGACAAGTTGTTTACAGCAACAAGGCCTATCTCTAAGTCCTTGACATATGTGCAATTCATCTCAGCAGCTTGTCAAGGCTTATTGTGAACATACATCCTCAAATCAATTGCAGACAGGGATCCTGTTGCGTGTGTCGGGTTCTCCTCTCTCTCAGTGGCAGGAAGTGCTGATTAGCTCTTCTGCCTGTTCCTTCTAGGCAGGCTGCAGGAATTACTCCTGTACCAAGAGCTGTTCTTCACACACCTCACTTTCATCAAACATTAGTGTGTCTTGAGAGAAGGCTCTGACAAAGACAAGGCCAGCTTCAGCAAACACCAAAGCATCTTTAGTACATTACGAGAGTTTCCAGCTTAGCTAATGCTTTGAAGAATTAGAGTTCCTTGTCTAAAGGTGGTAAAGCCCTCCAAATCTCTGGGAGGGGCAAGAAGTGTGGTTGCTACCTGCAAAATTAGCATCCTTTCTTGCATTAACAATAGACATACCCAGACTTAGACAGCAGCAGGTTTAGAAGATCCTGTCTCTTGGGTACCAAAATAAAATCCCAGACCTCTATTTTAATATTGCTTTCCTTCTTCCTATCTTTTAACCCATACTGATGACTACTTTGAAGAAATACTAACCTGATCCTGATTCTTCTTGGGAAGTCAGGCTCACTCATCTTCAGCGTGGGGAAGTGGAGGTCAGGAACAACAGAGTTACCAGATCTGCCTGGGAAGTTCAGGCCCTACTGTTGTCCCACAAATGGGGTCCATTTACCTGGTGTGCAAGCCAATAACACACAGAGTTGAGGTATTTGCAAATTGATTTCATTGATGTGCATGAATGGGTGCCTGTCCCAAGACAGCACACCCTTGTCTCAAAAATCCTCACATTCATATACTTAACTATATTCATTGTTATTTTCCTTAATGATTGGTTCTTTCTTCTTCGCCCCTCATGTAAATTAGCATGCTACTCTGTCTTCTTTCTTCATTGTCATCTTTTGAGTAGGTGGTCAATGAGTCAGTGGTCACAATCTCCCCCTGTAGGAATTACCTTTTACCTACTTCTTCCCTACTCTTGGCAGTTCCAAGTGGTTCTTCAAGGTTTATTGACCAGACTACAATCCATTATCTTTTCTGATATAAACATAAAGCCCCATTGTCTGATAGTTAGTTCCTAAACCCTAAATCATGTCTAGTTACTGTTTCCCTATTTTAAAGATTAACTGATGGGGGCTGTACACAGGACTTTAGCAGCTCCCTGGTTATTTCAATCATATTATACATATTAATTGATAACACTACAGCATCTGGAGTACTCCATTAGAATTGTATCCTTTTTTCTAGAGGGCCTGTTTGGAGGAGGGGTTTTTGTTTGGGTTTTTTTTCCCCCCTTCCGCTCTAGCTCCTTGAGGCATAGATTTGCAGTGGCCTATGCTGATACAGGCTACTATTGTTTGTGGGGGAACTGGAGCTATGTATGTCACCTGAAATAACTTGCAAAGCAAAGAGAAAGTCCTGATACAAGACTTGCCTCTGCTGGTGCTTCTTCTGGAAGACTGAGATGGCCTTTGTCTTTCCTGTGGATCCCAAAAATGTTTAGAGGCAGCACACGGAATCTTTTCCAGCCTTAGACTGTTTCCTTGAACTAGATATTACAGTGATTTGGGATAGTGTCACATCTGGGAATGCTGGGGCATCTCCTGTTTTAATCCATTTTGGAGAACTTGATAGGGCCTGTTTGTGATGTCTTTGAGGCTCAAAACTGCTATGATGTAGTTAATTTCCCTTTGTTAGTTGTCAGCTGTCAGTCACTTACATATGACTGTTAAAACATTACTAGTGTGAGGCCTAATATGCCACCTACAGAAAAAAAGTAGCTGGTAATGAAATGGTTCAGAGAAATATACACATCTAACACAAATAGAAAATTCAATTCAAGCTTGTCAGTTTTATTTACCCAGGATCTTAAGTATGAATCAACCTCTCAATGAAAATGGCAAAATATAACTTCCTGTGGCTTGCTGTATTATTTTCCGTTCAATTTTAGTTTCTCTTCTGGGAATTCAGATAATCACCTTTTGAGGGTTATCTGCCTTGCTAGCTTTGCATAGTGAATTTGTTCTCCTTTCCTGTTGTTGAAAAAACTTTTCTGGTACTGCACAGCTGTCAGCACAATATAGCCACAGAGATTTTATTTTTTTTTTTTTTTTGTGGGAGCAATGACAGTCATTTATAAAGCTTGCTTTTTTTTTTTTTTTTTTCTTTAGAGTCATTCACCACTGAAAAAGACTCCTCTGCTGGGGTGGAGCAGAGCACCATATTGTACTTCCCTGCCAGGGGAACACCCAGACAGAGAGAGACTCTTGAGATCTTTCTGTGATGTACAATCTCTACAAAGCAGGCAAATACCCAACTCCTTGTCTCTTGCAAACTCAATATGAAAATAACAGAGTCATGTTTTTCCTGCTGGGGTTTGAAGGTAGCATGTCAGCCTTGACGTTATTCGTTATGCCAGTCTGCTGCAGAAATGCAAGGTGCAAAGGAAATGGGGAAATGCCTTCACTTGCTTGATTGTGCAATTACTGCAGGCTTAGCTGTGCTCTTTGCTGATGGAGAACTTTGTGCCTGAAAATTATTTCCTGTAGGAGAACTGTATGATCATTGTTCATAAGCAGGGAGGGACTGTAGATGTGTATACATATGTATATGTTAAAAACAGAGCTTTAAATCTGTTTTTTATAATAAGACTTACAGCTAGTGGGATGAGAGGGAAGATCCCTTTCTGCTTATTCGTGTTGTTCTTGGTATACATCACTGCCAGTCATAGTGCTTGGTTTGCTTTAGTAGAGAACAGATTTCAGTGTGCTACATCTTGTCTATAGCCAGAGCTTGTGATTATGACCTGCAACTCAACCCAAAACCTTGGTTTGAACCAGTAAGGCAGAGCTTCTCAATTACTGAGTTTTGCATGGAAGTTAACTCAGTAACGTTGGGTTTCTTGATTGTTGGTTTGGTTTTGTGTTTTTTAAAGACAGGAACATTAGACTGCTGCAGAAAAACATCTTTATTTGCTTTGTTTGATAATCTTGCTGCAGTGGTCAGGTTGTGTGATCAGGAGTGGAAAGAGCCTTTGTGTAGCATAGGAACAGCTTATTTCCGTGTGGGACACCAGTCTTTCACTTTGACTGATGTTTCCATTGTAGCTCTGCTCCAAGCACTCATCTGCAATCTTTGCTCGGAAGGGTCAGTTCTCCTCCTTTGGCCACTATTTCCTGCAGTTAAGGCTCTTTAGCTGGTGTTTTCTGCCTGTGGGGAGTCATGAAGTCGTATGACTTGTGGAAGGAGCAGAGATAACAACAAGCACCCATCTGTTCTTCTTTTCCATCCCTTCAGGATGTCTGGGTGTCCGTGGTTAGAATTCTTCTCCAGATAAGATAGTGGAGGTGTCACTGTGGGGCAGTCAAGCTAGAAAACAATAGCGGGTTGAGTCCAAAAAACAAGATTGATCAGTAAGTACATCTCTGTTGTCAATAAGGGGCAGAGCTGCTCTGTGGAGGTCAAGGCTGGAGCTGTACCCCACATCCCTTCAGCTTCTTCCTCTGATAAACTTCTAGGAGAGCTATCACACTTGCTCTTCAGAAAGCTTGAGGTCAGAAGCTCCACTGAGAGGAGGACTGCAAGACCCACAGCGTGTGCAAGGGCTTTCAAGCCTCTGTTACTTGAGTGGTAACTGTTCCTTGGCTGAGTGGGATGTTCCAGTATTTGTTTTTCTCCATCTGCTTTGTCATCCAGCTGCAGCCAGTGTCTTTGATGGGTGAGTAAAGAAGCATTGCCTTCAAGCTTATTTCTGTTTGCCATCTTTAAGGTTTGTGCTGAGCCTTGGTGTTCTTAGGTGAAAGACTAGAAGACGTGAGAAATATTGTTTTTCTTTGAAGGTGGTGTGAAATTCCTTCCAATTGGAAAGATCTTTCTGTCACAGAGCGTGAAGCCTCCCATACTGGGAGAATCTCTATTGCCAAAGCACTGTGGGATTTTGCTCTCCCATAGGAGGAGAGACTCTGAGTGGATATTATGCTACTTTTTCACCTGCTCCTTCGACAAATCTTAACTGAATTTAGTGTCATAATGCAGTGCTGCTCATTTCATTGCTTAGTCGTGCCAGAGCAGAGACCTCCAGTTACACAATACACACGGGATTAATCTCTGTGCAGAATGGTGGGCTTATGAATGCTTGCCAGAGTCTGATTTGTCATCTAATATATATGCTAGCATGTCAGCTAGAGAACTAATGATATCATCAAGATTACAAATTGAAAAGCTTTACTTCATAGCTAACGCTTGTTAGGCTGAATTGCTCAGGCCACGCAAGAAATGTTGGGGAGGAAAAGATTGAGCCAAGAAAAATGAAAACCGGAGCAAGCTGGAGAGAGTTATATATCTTATACAAAACTCAAATGCTTTCATTGTTTGGGGAGGAGATGAGAGGTCGATTGGTTGCTTCTATGTTTTTGTGGAGTTTTTTCTTAAGAACTCAAATTAGTTTTCAATAAACTGTGCTGTTAAAGACTGCTTTGGTGTCTGTGAGGAGGTTGGCTTGGGGCAGTGCTGGCAGTCCGAGGGTGGCCATGAGGGTCTGCGGTATCTGGAAGAGCACTGTCTGCTTTTTCTACTTGTTTGCCTCCCCTTCACTCCTGTCTGAAGCTCTCAGAGAAATGAAAGATGTGAGGGTGCACTACCCCATTCCCCTGAAATGCCGCCTTCTGGCTGCCTCTGAGCCACTGCATGTTCATCTCAGTAAATTTTGTCTTTAAATTATCTTCTGAATGTTTAGGAGACAATGTGATCTCTCTAGATGGGTGTTTTCAGAATGTGTCTACAAAGGATATTTCATAAAGTTAATTATACTATATGACAGCTAATAAGAGTGTGTATTTTTGGTGCTGCCCAGCTGGGAAGCTGACAGGGCATTCCTCGCTTCACCTCATTTGGCTTTTAACAGCACAAAAACCTTTTAATCTTAGTCAGTGACTCACCCTAAGGCCACACCAAATCATCTTGTGGAAACCAAGTGAGTTACGCTGAGGAAGCTCAGAGGAAGCTCTGTTCAGCTGCGTGCAGAGAAAAGGTATGATCCATCTTTTCCTATTGCAAGAAGTCAAGAAAGCTTTTGGAGGATGGGATTTAACAGTGCTGCTGCTGTCTGTGGGTGAGGGGAGGCAAGGAGAGGTAGGTGAAATCAAGAGCTCATGAGGGATTGCCTGGTGAATCTCATCAGAGATTTCCTGCTGCGTTCCCCCTTTGCTGCTCAGGAGAACTAGGCCGGTTGTGGTGGGAGTGAATCTGCTCTTCTGCATATCTTGTGAATTATGGCACTAGAGATTCCCTTTGTAACCCAGACCTGCGCTCCCTGTGCCAGCTTGCAGCTCTGCAGCACTCTCATGACTATGGCAGCTGTTCCTGCCTTTTATGCTGGATTTGAGGCCAAACAAAATATGTCTATGGCTGAGGAAGGCGTAAGGATGTTTGTCAAGAGAGATGTTACATTTGTGAGAAGGTATGAGATCGCATGTCAATGGGACGGATATTTACAGAGGATGCAGCTAAATAAGGGTGACTTGAAGTCCATTCGCTGAAGCACTTGTATTTCCCACTTTAAAGTCAATAAAGCAAATCAAAATAATGAACCAAGAAAGTTTGTCTGCATCCAGAGCATTCTAATAGAAACAATGTGTCTCCCCCCACCCCAAATTGCATCACCCTATTGTTTAAACAAAACAAAACAGAGAGCAATGTTAGAACTTAAAAAGAAATGTGATGTGGCAAGTAGAAGGTATTCCAGTCTGAGATGCATTTAATCAGAATGATTGGTTTTATTAGCCGAATTCTAGGAAATGGTAATCAATTTTCCTTACTCAAGACATTATTAACATTCATTTTGCTTAATAGGGAATAGCTAGTCATGGGTAAGTAGTGCTCAATCAGGTATTAAATGTAAGTGAAAATGAAACCTCTGGACTTTCAGTGAGGAAGCTGCCAAATCAGGGTTAATTGGGAGAAGACTGAAAGTGTAATGAACGCTTCAATTCTTCATTTTTTTTTTCTCCCTATGGTATTCTTAGGTTTTAATTGTTTGCAGATGGTTCAGAAAGGCATCTGAAAAGGGATATGCTCCTTGAGCACTGCATGAACAGACACGCACATACCAGGAGGTCCATGTGTTTATATCTTGCCCTCACAAACACTCACTACACTCACAAACAAAAGATCTCCTGTGGAGATCAAGAGGGTTTGTGGGCTTGCAAGGAACATGACTGTGTAGAGTTGAACATTTTGCTCCCCAGAAGGTCCTGATTCAAACCTTCGTGCTCTCTAGATTTTAAGGTAATAAATAAAAAGATATGGGGAAGCTATTTGACATGCGGGGAGGTGGCAACATCACACAAAACCACACTAGATACTGTGAATCGTAGAGGTGGTTAGCATTTGGTAGAGAAGGAAGTGGGGGACAGAGTCTCTGAAGGAGACCAGGGCACATCTAAGTGGATCTTTAAATACAGGGGGCCGCTACCTCTCTCACCCCGCTGCAGAATTTTACAGGGTACACAGATTTGAGTTACAGCTGTTTCAACTCACATTGGCATAAATGTACATAGTTGTAGGACAGAGAGTGGAGAACAAAGCCACAGGTAAATGGAACAGGGTCTCTTTCTCCTACCTTACCTCTCTAAGCATACACTGTTGGTTAGAGACGGCCTGCTGGGTTATAGATCAACTTCACTGTCATCTGGGAGAGCAGTTCTTATATTTAGCTGTTTAAAATTGTACCCTGAAATGAGTAGGAGCTGATAAATTATGCTTAGAGGTTGCTTACAATTATATAGGGGTCTAATAATAATTGAAATGGAGTATTTTCTTTCTGTACACCTTAAATGTAGCATTCCTGTTGCATATCTTGCAGTTCACCTGTAACTGATGCTTTGCAAGGTGATCTCTGACTTGTGGTTATGGCAACTCAACTGTGAGGGCTGACACTGGCCGTGGATGGATTTTGAGAGACACTGCATAACCTGTTTGAAGTCTAGTCCTTTTCTCCAGGCATGTGGTTACCAGTGACTTCAGGAGGGGCGTGCAGATGCTCAGTTGGTACTTGAACAAAGGGTGGATGTCCTAGGCTAGATCCAGTGCTCCCAGGATGTATTTCCTATGGCAAAATTGCTGTCTGGACTTCAGATTTCAGATTTATTTTTTTTTCCCCGTTGTCATACGCTACAGCAGCTGAACAGCAAAACAGACTTGCATAACGTTGTGAGAGCTTTGTTAATTTACGTTTTCTTCCAAGACATTTAAACCGAGCTGTCAGAATTTTCTATAAGACGGTTAGATAGCTGGTATCGCTGTTTCTCCCCAGGGATCTCTATCTATCACAAGGATTCTGTTCAGTCAGGAATAGAAAAAGAAATTATTTTGCATTCATTGCAATTATCAGTCAACAACTTGATTTGATATCTACCAGATGTTCTCTCTTGTCTCTTGCTACATGTCTCAGCCCTGGACCCCTGCTCTGCCTACATCAGCCTGAATGAGCCCTGGAGGAACACAGATCATCAGATAAATGGTTCCCACGGCCAGCCGACATGCGACAGTCAGATTGATGGGGAGTGGTATCGCTTCACTGGCATGGCTGGCGATGCTATGCCTACCTTCTGCATCCCGGAGAACCATTGTGGCACCCATGCTCCCATTTGGCTGAATGGCAGCCACCCGCGAGAGTCGGATGGCATTGTCCCACGCCAAGCCTGTGCCAGCTTCAATGGGAACTGTTGCCTTTGGAATACCACGATTGATGTCAAGGCGTGTCCGGGCGGGTACTACGTGTATCACTTAACCAAGCCTAGCGTTTGTTTCCATGCATACTGTGGGCGTAAGTAACTGCCGAGATTGCTTTTCTGAAATCCCTTCATCCCTGCGATGCAGGAGCGGTAGTGAGCATCCATATCCCTGAGAGAGGTGGTGGCTGGTTTCTGGCTTTCTCACCCAGAGGGATGTCAGGTGATGCAGTGCAGATGGTGGCCTGTCTATATGAAATCAATTAGACAGTTTCATCTCTGTGAATTCTAGCCTTTGTTCAGCCAGTGGAACTCTTCCATAGCTGACCTGGCTGCGGTGATTTAATGCTCTCTGTGGGCCCTGTGGTTTGTCTTGGCATGCTACCAAAGCCAAAATTTGCATCTCTGACTTACAGTAATTAAGCTAGATTGTTTCTGTTCAGCTTTACTAATGTGGGCTAGGTCTGTAACTGATGGACTAGACACAGGGTGTGAAGTTGATGGTACAAATACGGTATTTTCGTTTGCATGCTCAATGGCTTGTGCTGACAACATTCTTGTCATGCCCTAGATTTTTATGACATCTGTGATGTGGTGGATTGCCAGGGCTCCTGCCTGGACACCGGTGACTGCACATGTTCCCCAGGGACGACACTAGGACCTGATGGACAGACATGTCTTGGTAAGGGTGGAAATAACTTGTCAGCTACTGATGCTTTCTTTCCCCTTTGTTTCGTTGCTCATGTCTCAATCTATTGTCTTACAAAGCAGTACAAAAAAGAAAAAGTATTCTGAGAGGAGTTTTTTTTCCCCTTGCTGCCTAGAACAGATCTTTGATTCTGTAAGTGGTTCCCCATCTCTCCCCACAGGGTGAGATATGACATCCTATGACTGAATACATTCTGGTGCCCCTGGAGCTATGCATGTACAGAGGCTGGATTTGCTTTCTGCATGGTCCAGCCACTGAAGGCAGCAGCTTTGCTGTCAGTAGCAGAGTCTCTTTCCAAGATCACAGTACAGTCTCATTGGTATTCAGGAATGGCTGTGCAGTCTGTCATTAGAGATTTTCTCTCACCCACTCTGTTGAATGTCTCTTTTCTCCAATAAAAGTTTTGCTGGCTGGTGTGGGGCTACACACTAAGCTTCACTGTATGTACTGCCCTTGTAGGGCATTGTCCAGGGCCTGTGGCTTGAGGAGAGCCAAGGGGTTGTAAGTTGCAGCACAGCCTCAGTGGCTTTAGGCAGCATGACAAGGTGGTTGGTATTCAGGGGGCTGGTACTTGGTGATTGCACTGGCAGAGACTAGGAAGACCAGGAAGGAGGTGGAGAGCTGGAAGTGAGAGCAGATCAGGGAACGAGGGCTTCAGGGATTTGTGAGGCAATCCCCATAAACCTCTGAGGAGAGGATGGCTGTGGCAGTTCATGTGGTGCTGGGAGGAGAGCACCTGGATTGCAAGGTCTTAGGAAGAAGATGGTCTGTGGGGCAATGCAAAGGGCTGGGAAGGGGTGGCTGCTGGGAAGCTGCAGAGCCACACTGATGGATAGGAAGAAGTGATGTAGAGGGAGGAAGGGGTGCTAGTGTTCGGGGGAAGTGGGATCTTATCTTTGTCCTTGTGACTTCATTTGGTGGAGAAGTTGAAAGCAGAGTTCGTCCAGGAGACTGTGTGGCAGATTAGTTTCTTCCATACAGACTACAGCTGACGAAGTGAGCATGGGTGGTTTCTTTCTTCATGTTCCTTGTGTCTGTGGGCGTCAGGGTAGGGGCCACAGTCATTACAATCTGTGGAGAGAGCAGCCTGGCCCTGCTGCAGGTTTACACTTGCTCACACCAATTCTACAGAAGGGTTTTGCTTAAGCTGCTCCACATCTCTGCAGCCAACTGGCTGATTTAGCTCTCTCAGCTAATTAAAAGCATTTATTGGCTGCTTCTGCGCAAGACTTCTAGTCACAGAAGCATCTTTGACAAGCACCAGCACTCAATAAATGTGTGGTAGGCTCACAGGTAAGGATTTCCTGCAGCAGGGAGGCATGCAGGAGTCCTGAGCCTGTCTGCGGGTGCTGTAGCTGCCTTCATCCCCCCATGGCCAGGCCAGGCAGGATTTCTGTACTGCTGTTTCTTCATGCTAACCAGATGGCACAACATTTCAGCTGTAATAATTGCACTGGTTTACCTATCTGCAGCCTCTCTTGTTGTATGGCTTGCTCATCTTTCTAAGGACTTTCTGTTGTGCTGAGTAATTGCACAATCACATCTGTGGGAGTAACTGTGCCAGCCTTCTCAAGAAACCAAACAAATCTGTATTAGCCTTTCCTATATGGAGAATATTCTTCCTTTCCCAGCTCACCCTAAGACGGGGGATGAAGATGCTGCAATAATGCTAAGCAGGTCTTGTCTGTGAACCTCCCTGTGCTAGGCTGACTTCCCTTCAGTACATCATATGCTTTGAATCCCAGAGTAAAACTGCTGATCCTAAGTTATATTTTCATTTGCAAACTTACTTAGGGGTTTGATGAGGTCTTAGACTTTCTGTCATGGACCCACCAACTCGGTGCATTGCCTTTGACCTCTTGAATACCTGGATCCATGTTGTACTAAGCCATGGTTAAAATCACTTTAGTGCTCTCCCAGTCTCAAGAAAACCAGCCTGTATCCCAGAAGTGCTGGTTGTCACTGGTGTGGAAGAGCAGGGACAGATCTGCTCTGTGTTGTAGAACTTTGAGGACCGGCAAGGTGAATTGCTGGGTACAGCCCTTGACCAAGCCAAGCTCTAAAACTTTCTAACAGCATCTCTATGCCTTTGCCAGCAGCCCTTTCCGTTTTCACTCTCTGTTTTTAAGCAGCATTAGTTTCATTGTTAGAAGGGCAGGTGTGGAGCCTGTCACATATGTGAAAAGGGAAGTGTCTGTGTGTCTCCTGGACATGCTTCCTGTCTCCCAAAGCAGCGTACCAGCCATTTCTTTGGCTAGAAATATTCAATTCACGTTGCTTGCGGAAGGAGACACCACCACTAGCTGCAAGCTGTGGGTACTGTGTATGTGTGGGACCACTTATACCTAAGAAACCTCATCTCTGACATGTCTCTTAAAATGGTATTTTTCTTTTTTATTGGTTTTAAGCTTCTGACATCTAGTAAATGGTAACTTCAAAACTGTTTTGGTGAAACCCCATGTGAACCTTGATTGATAACCTTAGCATTCTGGCCTGCCTAAGAGAAATCATTAGTTTTGTGGCTCAGCAATAGCAATGACTGTTCCCCTTTCTCTGTTTGATTCACTTTTTGCACAGAGATTAAATCAGGTTGAAGAATGAGAATCTCAGAGAACAAAGTACCTTAAAAAAAAAAAAAAGGCAGACAGACATAGAGGAGCTTTACCCTTTAAAACGGAAAATTAGGAGGAGTTTTCGGAGCTTTACCAAGAGATTCAAAAGCATCTGCTGTGCTTTTTCCTCAATAAATACCCTCTGCAATAAATAAGTAAATAAACCCCTGGAGGGCTCTAATCTAGAGCTGAATGCAGCCAGCACAGAAATGTGACACAGGTACTGTTCATGGGTATGTTCCTTTAGGTTATAAAAACTCAGTCTGGGCCTATTATAAGGTTATTCTGCAACCTTTATCCAGAGTTTGCTCCAGAAATTGTGAGATGCCGGCTCAGGCACTTCCCTTTCTTCTGAGCTGGAAAGGTAGGAGCCACAGCTCTGTGGAACGCTGCAGAGGAGCGAGCAGGGAGGGCTGTCATGGGGCAGCGAGGAGCTGAGTCCCCAGAGGGAGTAGCTCAGAACTGAGCTCTTCATCTCATCTTCAGTACAGAGAGTCTGAGCAGCTAATGGTTGTGATGGCTTGTGTGGCACCAGTGCCCTGGTTAGGTCTCACCATGGTGAGTTGACATTTCTGTTCTGCAAGAACATCTGAGCTGCCTGCTGCAGGGAGCAGCCAGAGCTGGGGCAAGAAGACAAAATGATGAAATTTCTCATGACATGTCTCTTCTTGGGAAAGCTTCATGGGGTTCATGAAAATGTTTTGGTTTGATTTCAGCTTTGTTTATATGTTTACAGCTGGTTTTCATTCTTGTGTCTTTATTTTGAAATAAGGGGTGAACCATTTAAAATTGCTGTAGGATAGTTGGCCACGTGTAGCAGTGGCAGGTGTGATACTAAAATAGACATGGTTTATTTTCGACTGATTGTGGTCCTCACCTAAATTTACCGTGCAGTGAAGTCACATTAACTCCATTTTACTGTCTTTGTGAGTGGAGTGGAGAATAGTTTATGATGAGAAGATAAATGAAAACGTGAACTCCCCAGCGTGTGGAATCAGTTTGGAAGTTTCCCAGTGGGACTGTGTCCATCTTCACTCCGAAAGGGCTGCTGTGTGCATGTGACTTTTCCCTCCAGGTCTGCTTTGTTCCCGAGGTAGACACAGCATGGCAAAACACTCTGCTACTGTCAGTAGACAGCAGTCTTCAGCATTGAGTGGGATTACTCATCTCTGTTGTCCTGATCCAGGTCACGAGGTCAGGAAAGCCAGTCCACAGTCTGACCAGTGTTCCCATGTAGCAGCCCCTTTTTGCCAGCTGTGTGTTTACCAGGGGGCATGTTATGACAGTGGGGGTTTTTTTTCAGATGAAAATGAATGTGAGCAGAACAACGGAGGCTGCAGCGAATTTTGCGTTAACCTGAAGAACTCCTACCGCTGTGAGTGTGGGATCGGGCGCACACTGGGAAGTGATGGGAAAACCTGTGAAGGTGAGGTTTCAGCTATCGCAGTCTGTTGGAAACGATATAAATCATTCCCCTTCCTTTGCAGTGCTAGTTCTCTCTTGGCTCCTTGCAGCTGGGATTAAATGTCATTCATATCACTTCTGTGCTTGCCAGTGGGGTTGTTACTGAAATAATCTTCTAATCAAGCGGAGAGGAGTCTCCTCGTTGTTCTCCTTGCCTTGTTCATTTCTGTTAGGATTTGCTTGTATTTATCTCCGTGGGGGGAGAGGCAGCAGTGAATGTGGAAGATTGGTTGTCCAGGCAGAACTAGTTATTGCTGGAGATGCTGGGATTTGGCTCTGGAGATTTGTATGATAATTGTGCAGGGGCAGATTTAGCATTGCTGGTTTTTGACAGCTAGCATTAGGTATGGGGTAATGTCATGACATTAGACTAGACCATGAGGATCACTTAGCCTCCCAGGATAAGGATGAGGAGGGGGGGTGCCAGTCTGTAAACAGAAGCTAGATTTGAGATTAGGGCTGCATTTTGACTGTTTGATTTTTCTAGGTGGTTAGTTGTGGGCTCTGCTGTGTGCAGCTGCTACAGTTACTTCCCAGTGGTGGCACATCCAGGTTGAAAACCCTTCATAAGTTTAGACTGGTAGCTTAACAGGGGCTTAGAGACCAAATTGTAAGTTTGATCTGTTGTCACTAATAATGTACAAACATCTTTGAACAGAAATATGAAAACCCAGCAAAAATTGACTTGTGCCTGATGTTTTCTGTGGTCAGCTGTGAAGAGCACTGTGCCCCCTCGCAGGCAAAGCTGCAGTGTTGTATGTTCACAGATACTGTGGGGCCTCAGACAAGAATAACAGCTACAGATGTGCCTCACTTTTGAGCTATCTGATTGCCAGAACTGAATATATCTGCAGCCTGCATGCAACCTTATGTTTGCTGCTGTGTGGCAAACATCTGTGGTGCAGGGAGAGGGATTGCCATTGTATTTTTGGGCTGGACTCCACCCTTTATGGTTCACTTACAGATGGCACCAAGCTGCAGTTTTTGTCCCTGTTTTCCCCCTCTTTGATACCAAAGCACATTTCATCTCACTTCTGTGAAAATCTCCTCTCTCAGCTCTGTTACTAAAACATGCCTCATCCAGACTATGACACTTCCCTGGGGAAAGCTGCTGAGCAGCGTGCTCTTTAAGTACTTGTTAAGCTGTGTGGGGCCAAAAGTGGTCTGTGGGCTTTGTCCCTTCCACATCCAGCACAGTGCTGGTGGGGTGTCACATAAACCGGCTGTGCTATGTGGCAGTTTTTATTCCTGAGCACTGCAGTCTTCTGCCAGGGCTGGAATAGTCTGTGCTTGGAAACTCATTTGTTTCTGCTGTTCCCAATGTTGGATTTTAGGGCTTTTGATATATCATTTAATTTCCCCTTCTTTAAGAAGGATGGTGCTTTTCAAGAGTTTAACACTGCTGCTAGGGATTTTTACAGTCTTGTTAGTGAGTTTTATTTCTAAAGAGGTGCCCTCAGCTTTGTGAGCTGTTAGAGTATGGGATTTACTTGTGAGCCATCTGACAGCTGTTGCTAGAAAGAACAAATGCAAAAGATTTAGCTTGATTACATGAGCTGGTGAGGCTGAGTAAGGTTAAGAGTACCTCAAAATTTCCATTATAATGCTTTACCCATTACTTTGACTCATGTGGAGTGTTCAGGCTGTTGTTTTCCATGCAATGTGTAGGATTGAGTATGGGATTTCCATTCTTTTCTTTACATCTCAGTGAAAACCACACAATCATTTCTGATGGCAGGCTTTGGCAGAAATATTTTGTATTTATGATTTGTTTATATTATGTGTACTATTTGTTTTACTGAGAACATCTAGCAGTATTCATCCCAAAGGGTTAAAAAAAATCAAGCAGTAAAGGTTTTTTTTTTAATCCTGATACTCTGTTATTTTCTTTATAATAGAAAGCCAATAACAACTGGAAATGGCCTTACTTGTCTTAGCTTTTCAAATCTTCAGAATGTATTTGGATGACCTTTCAGGCTCTTTTCTGCAGCTGTAGTGCCTAGGAATATGTTTTACACGAAAACTCAGATCTTCATAGAATTGCCTCAGCTGAACAGAAAAGGTGTAAGAAAAGACATGGAAAAAATCCTCCAATTAGCTGTGCTGCCCTCTCAACTCTGCACTTTAAAATAGGGGAAAATTAGGAGGGGAATTGACCTTACACCATGAACTTGTGTTGTTCTTTCTTTGTCATAAGGCACCTCAGGGTAGTCAACCTCTAAGCCTAAAACTCACAAACTAGCAGAATTCCTGCTGAACAAACTCCTATGAGCATATTTTCATCCTCAGCCTACAAAGGGGATGCAGGAATCCGGTATGCCCACCTCTATTACAGCTGGGAAACCCCCAGGCAAAGAGCACATCATCTCTCTGATGTTCCCTGATGGGAATAGGAGCTGGCTACCTGCGACTCATGTCCTCCCCAAGACACCTCCCCTGCTAATCTCAGGGGTTTTATTCTGGTGATGACTAACGGAGTGAGTATGATTCCACATGGCAGAAGTTTTCCTCCCACCTTTTTGAAGTACGAAACAACATAAAAATTTAGTTTAAGAGGATGTCTCAGAAGTTAGAAAGGGCCAAGCTGAAGATAGCCTGTTCAGCCTTCTTATGTATGCCAGTTATAGCATGTGATTTAATTTGGTAAGCTTTTCCACAGAATTCCTCATTAACTTTATGGTGAAATGACAAACACAGGAAATTGTACAATTAAAAATAGGTTTCCATGGCATTTTCTTGGAAGCAAGTTCTCACCGTGCTATTGCCTTTGAGTTCCGTGTTGGTCATACTGTTTGTTGGTCAGCCAGGAGTATATGTTGGGGCCTACATAGCTGCCACACAGCTGCCTGAGGAGCAGGGTGTGCTGATTTTTCTTGCTTTTGCAGAAATCGAAGGCTGTCACAATAACAATGGAGGCTGCAGCCATACCTGTATTGAGGTGGAAGACACATACCAATGTGAATGTCCAAGGGGTCTTGTTCTGTCAGAAGACAACCACACTTGCCAGGGTAGGTCAACAAAATGTCCCCGACAGCCTCTGTTCCCTGGATGCCAAAAGTATGTCTGAAAGAACTTTTCTTCTTTTTTTTGTCATGTTCTCTTAGTCTGTCCTTTCCAGTTTGGTTAACGGAGCTTTGTTGTTAATGAGAGATCATCCAAAACTGAGAGCCTGGAGATACTGCTCTCTTTACCAGGCAGGAGAACAGAGATGCAGGACCCAGCTGGGTGCATCTTGCATCACAAGTGGTTTTGGCAGTGATCACTTACAATTAAGATTGCTTAACATCTCCTATTATATTGCTCTGCTTCAGCTGTGTATGCCTTTGACAAATCTATGCTATTAGAGCTGAAATTTTCCATGCTTCAAACTAAGCTTTTGAAATTTCAGCTAAAGTGGTTCAGTCCCTTCCAAGAACGGGGTTAAAGAGAGAGGCATTTTTTTGCCCAAGTATCTTGGTAGCCATTCCAGTAAGCATTCTGATGTCTTGAAGCAGGGTGCTAGTTCTGATACTAGGTGTTTCTGCTGTCCCTTGGAAAAGTGCCGAAGATAGCATCTGAAAGTTGACTGTTGCTTCTGCTGCATAGAGGCAAGGGCAATGTTATCCTTGGAAGACCTTTCATCTGAACTTTACTCCATTCCTGTACACAGGGAGTCCTTCTTGCCGACTCACTTGCACCTATAGCATGCATGTGGAATAAACATGTTTCCTGGTTTGGGTTGCAAGAGCTGAGTGAGATTTCCTTTCCAAATACATCTGGGCTTCCAGGACTCAATTTAGCTCTGCAAGCAGTGAGTGCAAGGAGCAGAGGATCAGGGAGAAGTTCCTGAGGGCATTGAGAATTAAGCAGAGGGGTCTGTAGCTCCTCATGCAATGACTTTTTACAATCCAGGACTTGTACCCAGGATTCTTCTGGTTCTCGTAATCCCACAGCTAGCTGAGCCCCTGAGGTGCTGAAAGCATCGAGCAGCCTGTGTGTCTTACAGAGATGTCTACTATGATCTACTGCTGAAGGGACATTTGGTCAAAACTGCGTGTTGAGGAGAGCTGTGTGGGCATGTGAAAGGCAGACAGAGGTAATGCTCTCTGGTGGGCCTCATCTGACTTGCATGGTCACTTCTCGGACCTCTCAGGCTCAGCACAAAGCTGGAGAAGGTACACTACTGCCGTGGTAGAGACAGACCTCACAGCTCTCTGCATGTCTTCTGCCTTGGTGGGCCCATGAAGAACCTGTGTGGTTGCTTTCAGACATTTCCATGGGAATTTGCTAATGGGCTGGACTCAGGCCACAGCCAGGGCAGGATCTAAAATGCAATAAAAGGCAGCCTGTCATGGGCTGATTCACTTGGGCTGTAAGTAATATGAGTGAGCTGGTGTTACCTGGTGTGCTCAGAATCTCATGGAGTCTGATGTGTTACAAAGTGCCCAGACATCAGTGAGAGGAACAGATCCAGACTTCATGGTAGCCAACGGGGCAGGTATGCCTCAGAGAGTAAGTTGGAATGGTTCTACTCGATGAAATTTCTGCTTTTTAAGCTTTTTAGAAATGCGGGGCACTGTTTTCAAGGGTGAGCACTACACACTTGGGATTCAGTAGTGCTTAACTGCTCCAGCAGAGCCAGGTAGAGAGGAGGAGATGGGGATTTCCAAGAGCTGTGATTATACTTCCTGATTGAAGGTCTGATTGATGGATACAGGCCAGAAAAGAGCAATGTTCTTCAATCCTGGCTCCCTGAGGCAACCCCAGCAGGGTTAGAAGGCCACGCATTTCTCAGCCAGTGTTTCTCCTTCTTCTGAGGCTGCTAATGAGAGCAGCAGCACTGCCGGGTGCCGAGCTGGGGCTCAGGATACAGCATCTAATAAAGCAAAATTGCTTGTTCTTTTGCATTTCATGAATTTATGTCCCCATGCAGTGGTCTGCAATTTTGAGCAGATATGACAGAATATATCTGGAACTGTACAACACAATTTTTTTTATGGCATCTAATCAGGTTTATAGTGGTACAATTAACAGTGCAGGGCAGGCACAGTTGCCTGAAGCAATTGGATCTGCAGCCTCCTCTGCACTGTCTCTACATTCAAAACAAACGTTAATAATCTTGCACAGAAATCAGTCTTGGTTACAATTTTCCCACAAAGATACTAGCCAACGAAGTATTTGGAATTTTGCAGACCATCCTGTACCCCACCTCTTTCTGAAGTGTGGTGGTGAAATGCTTTTCTGCCATCTCCCATGCCCAGGCCTTGTGTGCAGCTAAGCAGGGTACAGTGGTGTAGTTTATTTGTGTTTCTAGCAGTGGTTCAGGGTTTCCCAGCACCAGGGTGCCTATTCTGCTGAGCAGTCTGAGCAAAAAGATAACCTCTGCTCCAAGCAGCTGTACTTTAAAAAGCCAAGGAAGGAGCCACAGGCTGGGCAAGGATCATGGTGCCAACGACAGCAGACAGCAAAATGAGCGTTGAAATCACCACAGAAGCTTCCTACCAGGGTCAGGGTACTTGCAGTTGTTGGTGCAAAGTGGAGTTTAAAGCGGTAATGGGGAGGCGTTCCCAGTACTTAGAGATGCTCTGCAGTGTATGAGGGCGAAGAACTGAAATGTTTGACTGGCAATGACTGGGTGAGGCTCTTGGGAGCCTCACAGACTGGGATGAGCCCAGGGCAGGGATGCAAGAGATGGATGTGGACAGCAAGTCAGGAGAGTGCAGGTCTCTGAATGGCTGCAAGAAGTTGTGAATAAAAGTGGATTCCTTAGCACCCAGGATAACTCGTTTCTGCTGAGCATCTCAGTCCTGGCAGTCGGGACGTCATGGCTTGCCCTGGAACAACATGTCTGCATATAGTCATGGCTACTTTGCCAGCTCCTTCTCAGCTCCCCCTATGATGCTGTTGCTGGCAGTCTGTCTTGAGGGGAATCAGGCTTGCTCAGAGCTGAATCATGCTGATGCATGCAGTCTCTCTGCTTGCAGCACCACTGTTAAATTGGTAGAACTGAAACGCTGTTCTCAGTATTGATTACTCCTCTGTGTACAAATGTCTAGGGTGGTTTGAATTACCTGTTGCTCTGAGATAGTTTAAGAGTTTCCCAGAGTGTTTTCCCAAATAGTAATGATTTGGCTTGAATCAAAAGTGGATCTGCTCACAGGTTTCATTCACTTGTTTCTGTGCCCAGGTGGTGGAGTGCACACAGACAATTCCTGCAATGCCAGAGCAGAGGTTAAATGGGTGTGTCCTCTTTCTTCCCCTTTGTGCCAAAGACATTTAGAAACAGAGACAGCCTGAACCAAATTGGTCCTGAACTTTGGAGAACTGCAGTTAGGATCCAAACTATCTTGCCCTGAATTACACCATTATAAAACCATTCCATTTTCTTATTCATCAAGGAGTCACTAGAACAGTGAAGCTTTAAATCCAAAATGAGCCAATTGGTTCTCCAAAGGATGTTCATCTCCATCTGCATTGCACTGTGTTCTCAAAGTCCCTTTGTCTCCTTGTGAGCTTTGCCATTTGACATGCTCTGTTATTCCTGCTTGCCGCCTCCTGTGGATGGAGGAAAAGTTAAGGTAATGCTTAGTTCTTTAATCTTCTGTTCTAAACCAGCAATGTCATTATGAGAGCATATTGCTTTGGGCACACTGCATACGTTTTAGCATATCACCTTGAAAAGATCAACTTTTAATAAAAAAAATATTCCCTGCAGTTACTCAGTAGCTGTTACAAATACCTTAGCTGGGACAGGAGAATTTTTTTAAGGAGGGCAAAAGGCATTATTTTAGCAGTGTGCATTGTATGCAAGATCCAGAATCCGGGATTATATAATTAATGATCAAAATTAAGGGAAGGCAGATCAGATGAATGTCAAGGATTGGGACTGTAATTAACTTTAGGAAAAAGCTTGAGGAACTACTATGTTTGCAAAAAGTTTTGTCATCTAATTTTAAAATATGATAAATGGAAATTCTGCAAGGGGTTTGTTTTTCTGGCTGAGAAGAGATCAGAATATATGCACCAGTACGCTTGTCCTGTATCTCACTAAATAGATGTGTATACACCCAAAGAATATATATAGCAATTACTTTTTTTATTGAAGATTATTCCCTCTTCTTCCTTTTTCATTTTGTCCAATCTCTATGTTTTCTCCTGCTTCTTATGTAATGGAATTTTAATTGAAAAAAGTTCACATGGAGATCTGCATTAAAATTCAAAGGTTGGAAGGAGGTAGAATGAGTGAGCTAACTGGGTTTGTTTGTCAGAGCTGCATTTATTGCTTATAAAAATATTACTGCATTTTGAGGTGCTTCCATTTTAGCTCAGCATCTATATGGAATTACTCTGCCTTGTTTTGACATGTTCTGGGTTTGATGTAAAATCTGATTAAGGGTCTTAAAAAATGGCTTTGCCTGGGGTGTTGTGAATTTGATATCCATATCTGGGAAACGCTCTTCCCAGGACAGAGCAGTGCAGAAGATATCAATCAAACCTGTGCTGAGTATTAAGTATAGCTGGAAATACTGCATAGCTGAGTCTCTGCTGCAAGTGTCGCGGTCACCTTCGTCATCTTTTGTGGTATTGCTGCGCCAGGAGAATTTGGGGCAGTGGTAGCTCAGGAGGTTTGTGTTGTGTAGGTAGGAATACAAGATAGGTAGTTAGATTACTATCGTAAGATAGTAATCATAAATGCAGCATATGATCCCCCTTTTTTTTGCCCAGTAATAATTGGTATAGCCCTTCCCCAGCTCGCTGGTAGATGTGTCGTGCAGACTGTTATTCTGGGGACTTTCCTTGTAGTTCCAGTGCTGTGCAAGTCCAGCTCTATTGAGGTGAGCATCCCGAAGGATCTGGTTGGAGGCCTGGACCTTTCCCTCATCAACACTTCGTGCAAAGGAGTATCCAATGGTACTCACGTCAACATCCATTTCTCCTTGAAGTCCTGCGGCACTGTTGTAGACGTATGTATACCCATTGCTCTCCTGTCTCTTGAGATCTCTTGGATTCAGGGACTTGGCTATGGCTTACTTGGGGAATAAAGTTGATTTAGCTCTACCATCAGAACACTTTACTGTGTTGCTGTGCAGCTGGCCTCAGACCAGTCCTGGGGTGGCATCCTAAAGTAGGATGGAGCTTGTCTGTCAGCACAGGTACTGCTTTCCACTCACCTAGCACTTCACAGAGGCAGCTTAACCATCATTCTGGTGCAGAAAGTGCAAGTGGTGTCACTCTTCACCCCCCTGTTGAGACAGAATCGGGTCCCCCAGTAATGTTTCAAAGGTTATGCTGGCAGTGGTAAGGAACCAGAAAGCTCATACTAGCAGATGGGTAGCAACTGGAAGCAAATTCCTCTGCTTCATGTAGAAGTACAGTGCATCAAAGTTGACAGCAAACTGATAGAGGCCCTTAGTTCATAGGTAAGATGAACATCTTTCAGGTTGCAGCATATAAATTCACAAGCTGGACTTTCAGTGGCTAGTTTATGTCCGAGTTCCCTGCAAAAGGTAAACTCAGCTGCTAGTCTGAACTCAGAGAGGTCCTTCTCAATGATGTCCCCTTTCCCTTCAACTCCTTTCTTTGCTGCAGGTAATAAATGATAAAATCATTGCCACCAATCTAGTGACCGGCTTGCCAAAGCAAACTCCAGGAAGCAATGGGGACATCATTGTCCGCACCAGCAAGCTGCTGATCCCAGTGACCTGTGAGTTCCCACGCCGGTACACCATCTCTGAAGGTTATGTGCCCAACCTCAAGAACTCTCCCTTGGAAATCATGAGCCGCAACCAGGGCATCTTTCCCTTCACTCTTGAGATCTTCAAAGACAAAGACTTTGATGAACCCTACAGGGGTGCTCTTCCCACCCTCAAGCTTCGGGACTCTCTGTACTTTGGGATTGAACCCTTGGTACATGTCAATGGACTAGAGACACTGGTAGAGAGCTGCTTTGCCACTCCCACCTCAAAAATTGATGAGATCCTGAAGTACTACCTGATTCAAGATGGGTGAGTTCACTGTTCCTGCTCTTGCTGGCTATTAGATGGGCATTGGCAGTGGGACTAAGTTGCATTGTCTGTGTGATGCAGGAAGTGCTATCACTTCTCCACAGCAGCCTACCTGCTGTGTTCTTGGCAATGACCAGCAGCCAGGCCTTTCAGCCATCAAGCTGAAACCACCTGTCCCATCAAAAGTGATTGGGAGAAACAGTGGGAGGCAGTGAAAGAGGTTACTCCAAGTGCAGCCTTTACAGGACATATTTCCCTGTAACTAGCCTTGTGGATAATTGAGTTGGCTCCTGTACAAAAGATATCCTTCCTGATATCCTCTCTCTGCCAGCCTGTAGAGTGCCAAACCACTCGGCAGAACCTCCCAATGGCTGTGTGCCACTGCCACACAGCTACCACAGCAACTGGAGCAAGTTTCTTAATTTTCCCATAATGGCCTTATTGTAGCATGAGCCAGAAGACTCCATGGCTGGTCCTGGTTGGAGCTCCAGGAGCACCCCTTGCTTTGTTCCCTCTTTGATGCCTGTCAGTGCAGTAAGCTTAGGGTCTCTCAGTTTGGCTGTAATTTTCTGAGGTGTTTGGGGTTAGTAATCTTCTAGGATATGCTAGTAAAAAACTCAGGGTGGATCTGTGGGTTCACTGTAATGGGTTTTGCATCAGAGATTTGGGGAATCTTGCTGTGGGCTCTGCTGTGGCTCCTAAGATGACCCCTGTTTTCAGACACTTGTTTGGGCGCTAACATGACAGCGTGGAGTGTTTGCATCCAGCAGTGCCTGGGAGCTTAATCAGACAATGCTGTGGAAATGTCACAGTTGGGAACCAGTCTGCTATCCTCTCGGGAGGAAAGTCCAGCCAAAGTAATATCTAAGATGTACCCAAGTGTCATAGCCTGACAGTCAAGGGACTGTGCTCATATAAGTCCTGTATTCTGTCTGCCAAACCATCTAATGAGGACAACAATTATTTCCTCAGCTGCCAGGCTAAATCATCCACCGTTACAGCTGGTGACAACAAGTCCCATGTGATTGTCTTGTAGCAAAAGCGTTCTGCAGTGTACAGTACACAAAAATACTGTTTGAATTTCCTTCTGACAAAGGTTTCAGGATTAGCTTGTTCTCCTTCCATCCTAGGCTGCAGTCCTTCTGTGCCTGACATTTCTGGGGTTTGGGCGGATTTGTAATGGAAGGATTGATTTATTGACTCCCTGTTTTGGCTGTTTCTGTGGACCCTTCACAGAGTCAAGGCTCCAAACATTCATTCATTTCTCACCATGAGTGAAAATGATGGGATTCAAAACAGTGGCCAAAATCTGAGCCAAATAGAGAAGGGAGAAGGCAGAAAATGTCATCTCTTGAATTCACCACAGCACTAGCTGGAGGATTTACGGCACTAGCAGCCCCTTTGGTACTGTTATCCTGCAGAGGGCATTAAAACTTCGCCGAAAGGAAAAGTGGGCTGGAGCTGGCTGACTGGAGCCTCATCCAGCCTGCTCTGCTCTCCAGCCAGTCACTGCAGGCCCCAGTGTCCCCAGACATGCCAACCCCTGTGCACTGTGCTGTATTTAAATTGAAGCACTCACTTAGACCAAAGGCTAATGATGAGCTATTGAGCTAACTGGAGTTCTTTGTCTCTCTGTGTGCTTGCAGCAATTAAAAAGTAAAATCAGTTGAATACACTGCTGATTTGTCCCTGCTCCAAACAGGGAACTGTAATAGCCCAGTTTCCTTCCATCAACCCAGCCCCAAAAGCCCAAGGCAATAAAGATGAGATTTTTAAATCAGTTTGATTATGTAGGATCAGACCTGCAGGAGTTAACTGCAGCTTCCAGAGGGAAACACTGTGTAAATTTGAGGGGATATACCTTAGATGGAGGGATGGGAAAATTCCCTCTCCTGCTTTCTTCCTTGTAAATCCCCTGCCATCTCCAGTTGGCAAGAGGTGGGAGTCGCCTTCTGTGGGACTCCTCAGCCCTCTCCCTATGCTGATGTGACCATGCTGGAAATCAGGATATTCCCCAATCTGCACCCCACCCCA